TACCCCGTGCCCGACTAATAGTGGACACTTAACGATAATGCTCGCTAAGATCTGGACTGTCGCGCGAAGAAAGAATTAATGTTGCGTGTGCGGCTTGGGTAAATACTTTCTGGCAGGCTACAATACAGTATCACCACATACAAGTTTAGCAAGGTAATTTGTCGTCATCTTTGCTGGATGGGTCAACCCACGTGTTTAACCCCTGTGGAACGCGCGGCCTGTATTAGACACGATATCAGAAAAAGCTTATCCTGGACCATACACGATAAGGAATTTTGACTTGACGTTTGTATTGAGGTTTACAAACTTTAAATGAAATAGGGGACGGGGTGCCGGGTTGTCTCACCAAATCTTTTCCCGCTCGAAGTGCGTCTTTCCATTTTCTAAAAATTGAGTCTAAGAGATTTTAGTGTGGTGTGGACTACGTATGACAAATTCTTACAGTCAATAGCTCACACGCCACTCATTTCACTCATTAAAGAATTTGCGCCGAGTCCAAGAGATGTCAGGTTTTCGCGCCCGCTGGGCTGAGCTGAAGAAGGAAGGCTGGTCTTCGAAGAGGCCGGCTGGCCTCTCTGTTGACTTCACATACTTGAAGCCTGGTAAGACCAAGAAGGACACCCGTGGCGTCGATGTTTTCGTCGGAGAAGAGGAATTAATGCGCTACTTAGACCGCATTGATCTTGGTAATACCTTGAATTATTTTGCATCGCATAATGACAGTCTAACGTGTTATATTGAAACAGAGAAAGCTGCCAAAGAAGCACAGCAGCCTACACTACCAGAAGCAGCCTCTGCTACGACTGCTGAATGCGTTGAGCCTCAGGAAGACGTCGATGCCACGTCTAGCGGTATTGTGATGCTTGGTCTTGAATATACACGATATTCTGCCGGCTAATGATGTATAATACAAACGTGGTACTTACAGCAGTTACGCTACGCGAGGAGAGCAATACAGAAGGTGGTGATCAGCAAAATGAAGACAGCAGAGACACAAATGATGTTGTTGCCCAAAAAACAACGCCAGTCAATGGTATGATGCTGTGTTTACCTGTATTATACCGTTTAGCGTGCGAGCTAACATGTATATTGCTGCTGTGTTGTAGATGGAGTTAATGGCGTCTCGCGCAGTGATAGTGATGGCAGCCAGCCTTCACCGACGTTGCGCTGTACATCGCCTCATCTCTCTCCAACCCCACGAGTCGAGTACCCCGACGTGTCAGCTCGTATGACTTATAGCCTCCAGTCTGACGATGAGTCAAGCTCGGAAGATGATCCCGAGATTCAACGCAATCTGGACCCGGCGTTTGACGAGGTTGATGAGACCGTACGACAAGAAGAGATTACGGGTCCTCGCCGGTCGGCAAGGATTGCTGCATTTTGTGATGGTGCGTTTTAGATCGTATGTACACGTTTGTGGTACAGGATACTGATCGTAGATTGTATACCTGTGCTGTAGCAGATATCAACATTACTGTAGACGCAGACGATCCTGAGGAGTACCAAGCCATGGTGTCCGATGCTGAAAACGATGACGGGTGTTCTGACGGCGCTGACAGTGCACTCGGAGATGAAACTGAAGGCGGAGACGAAGACGAGCTGGAAGAAGATGATGAAGATCCAGCAGAAGCATTGTTTGACGACGATCTTTTAACTGCGGTTGGTGGTATGGCTAGTATTACAAGCGGCACGATTAGCGCTGATATCCTGAAGGATATGGCAAGCAAAGAATGGTCTAATCCTGTATTATACAGTCCATTTCCATATCTCGACCAGCCTTATGAGCCTCGCACGGCGAATATGCAAGAGGATTACCCGCAGTTGTTCTGAGAACACTACGGACCTACACCGAGAAGTCTAGAAGCGTCACGACAGTTTCTGGGGTGCTATTTTACTTCATGCAGCCTCGCTTGTGGGAAGACATCGCGGAGGCAAGCAACGAATACTTTGGTGAAAAGATCGACGAACGGGTTGAAGGACAGTACACGAAGCAGGAACAAAGAGAAAAGAAGATTCCTGGATTCAAGAAGAGCACGCGCGATGCGATCAAAGCTGTATTACTCTCTACGCCACCTATCACTGCTCGAGAGCTGTGCGTATTTGTTGGGCTTCTATTTGCTCGAACAATTGCTCCCAACAAGGAAAAAGCTGGAGAATCACTGGAAGACGACAGACGAAGGAGGAATTCCTCGTGGACGCTTCGGGCTTTTCATGTCGCGGGATCGCTTCATGCACATCTCTCGAAATCTTCACTTCAGCAGCAACAACGGGCCCCGCGCCGCAACAGATCGTGCCTGGAAGCTGCGTCCTGTGGTCGACGCGCTCCAACAACAGTTTAAAGCGGGTTACATACCGCCTCCAGTGATGGCATTTGATGAGGCAATGTTGCCTTCAAGATCAACGTTCAACCAGATGAGAGTCTACATGAAGGACAAGCCCCATAAATGGGGGACCAAGCTCTTCATGTTGTGCTGCTCTGCGTCAGCATACTGTCTCAGGTGAGTTGAGAGCGTGCCTCACGGCACGCTCCTTTTTTTTTGGTTGTAAAGTTCTCTTAAGCTGTAGGATACAAGTATGTAACAACATAAATGTGTATGATACAGGTTTGAAGTCTACTAAGGTAAGTGGCAAACGGACAGGTCATCCTCTTCGAAGGACACCAACTGTGGACCAGCTGCCGTTATTCGCAACCTGAGGCAAGTTTTTGGAGCAAGAGGAACCATCGAAAAACGTCTAGTGGTCACTGACCGATTTTACACGTCACCGACACTCTCCATGCAGCTCCTAGCAATGGGGTTCTACAGTATAGGCACAGTGATGACCAACCGGCGTGGGTTTTGCAAAGAGATTATCGTGAAGAAGAAGAAGCGGCCTGCTGATGTACACCGCGGTACCTACGCTGTTGCCGAGTCAACATTAGTGCCGAGTATGAAAGCAGTGTGTTGGTGGGACAACCGTCCTGTTCATTTGCTGTGTGCGGGTGGAAGTACTGAGCAAGATCGCGTAGTTCGCCGAGCGAAGTCTGGCGAACAAGTCGAGGTGGCATGTCCAAGAGTGCTGAAACATTACCAAACTTTCATGGGCGGAGTTGATGTACACGATCAACTTCGCCTCCAAAGGTGAGTACATTTCTGCTGTATGTACAAGATAGTGTTGATGCTAACCCTGTATAATTCATGTTGTATCAGGTACTCTCTTCAATTGGCTCTAAAGAATAAGAAATACTACAAGTCGCTTTTTCTGGGCTTCATCGACCTGGCAACAGTCAATGCTTTTATTGTGTACAATCGACGGCGTGCTATTGATGGAAAACCCAAGCTCAGCCATGTCAAGTTCCTGAAGCAACTACATTTGGAGCTGACGCAGTTGCAGGAGACGGATTGGGATGCTCTCCGCGCGGTGGAGCGTACCCCGAAGAAGTCACGCGCTCCGCCATTGCAGCGAACCCACGTACCGGTGCAGGTGGATGAGTGGAGGGATGGAAACAACGAGAAAGGTCGAAAGCGACATCAACGAGCATGCAAAGTATGCTCGGTGCTTAAGGGCTCCGACGAGTCGCGAGGGGGCGATACTACATTCTACTGTAGCACCTGCAAGCTACACACAAGCTCAAAGCAGCCACTGGCGTCGTGTGTGTACCTGTGCAACAAGGTCAAGCATGTAAACAACGGTGAGTCCGTTTCGTGCTTCGAGATTTGGCACAAGCATTGGTGTAACGGCAGCCTGTTGCCGCCGTCACAGAGAAAGCGAAAGATCCGCGTGCACAGGCCAGCAGCCGATAGTGTCGAAGAAGCAAAGTCTGCGAGTGGTGACAGCGGGGATGATGACACCAGTAGGCCGTCAAAGAGACGTCACAACGACGCTGCGACACCATAAGCAGATGATTTTGCGATCTTAAATGTCTTGATAAAAGTATGAAATCTGTATCTCCCTTTTTACCTGAACTTGAAGTCTATATTTAGGAGAAAAGTGCGCTGGGCTGTGAGCAGTTTTTGTACGTTCCTGGACACGATATCTTGGTATAGTGTATTTCAAAGTCAAATATTCTTGTAGGATACACGATATCAAATTTTCACCATCCTAGGTGTTGGGGTTCAATGCGTTTAACCATCCTACAGGATTAATTTGATACCAGTCTAACTATTAAAACCCTTCCCCGACATACACGTTAACGTCGAAAGGGTTTCGGTAAATGGGTGCACTGGAAAACCTTCGCGTTCAAGGGGTTAATTGGTATTGAGTTTTGGTTTAAAACCTGGTGTTTCAATATCCGTAAAATAATAATGGAATATATAAGTTCCTGTCAGAAGACTGTCTTAGAGGGGTTACTGTCGGGTACGGAAGCAATCACTCAAATGACAAGAGCAATAAAGGTGTAATGAACTCACATAGCATTTAAAATCGTAAATGACGACTACTACAAAACATTCATTGGACTGGTATTTAGTGACAAGAACAATGATCGTACAAAAGGCGTCATGAACTCACAAAGCATTCAAAGTCGTAAATGACGACTACTACAAAGCATTCATTGGACTGGTATCGCACGGAGCGGTAAATGTCTCGACACATCGGACGAGTGTAATGGGATGGCGTTCTTCTGACTTGGAAAGGATGACCATCATTCCGAGTTTACGCGCGCAGGTGGCGGTAAGTGCTGGGCTTCGTGGACGTCTGAGTAGCCATCTGAGAAGCTTGGTTAGCTGTCTTCTCTGGGGCTAACGAAGCGATGGCACTCGTTCCCTTCGAGTAGCTGTCCGTGTTGGTGCCCTTCTTCACACTTGTGCCGGCACCAGTATTCAAACTAGCACCAGCGTTGAGACCGGCACCAGCACTGAGGCCGGCATTAACGTTGAGGCAGGGACCAGCGTTGAGTCCGGCACCAGCATTGAGACCAGCACCAACCTTGAGACCGGCACCAGCGTTGAGTCCGTCATTTGCTTTCAATCCTGCATTGGCGTTAAGGCCCGCACCGGCGTTGAGGCCAGCACCAACGTTGAGACCGGCACCAGCATTGAGACCAGCACCAACCTTGAGACCGGCACCAGCATTGAGGCCGGCACCAGCGTTGAGTCCGGCGCTCGCTTTCAATCCTGCATTGGCGTTAAACCTCGCACCGGTATTGAGACCAGCACCAACGTTGAGACCGGCACCAGCATTGAGACCTGCACCAACCTTGAGACCGGCACCAGCATTGAGGCCGGCACCAGCGTTGACTCCGGCACCAGCGTTGACTCCGGCATTCGCTTTCAATCCTGCATTGGCGTTAAGACCCGCACCGGCGTTGAGGCCAGCACCAACGTTGAGACCGCCACCAGCATTGAGGCCGGCACCAGCGTTGAGTCCGGCACCAGCGTTGAGTCCGGCACCAGCGTTGAGTCCGGCGTTCGCTTTCAATCCTGCATTGGCGTTAAGACCCGTACCGGCGGTGAGGCCAGCACCAACGTTGAGTCCGGCACCAACCTTGAGACCGGCACCAGCGTTGAGTCCGGCATTTGCTTTCAATCCTGCATTGGCGTTAAGACCCGCACCGGTGTTGAGGCCAGCACCAACGTTGAGACCGGCACCAGCATTGAGACCAGCACCAACCTTGAGACCGGCACCAGCATTGAGGCCGGCACCAGCGTTGAGCCCGGCGCTCGCTTTCAATCCTGCATTGGCGCTAAACCTCGCACCGGTATTGAGACCAGCACCAACGTTGAGACCGGCACCAGCATTGAGACCTGCACCAACCTTGAGACCGGCACCAGCATTGAGGCCGGCACCAGCGTTGAGTCCGGCACCAGCGTTGAGTCCGGCACCAGCGTTGAGTCCGGCACCAGCGTTGAGTCCGGCACCAGCGTTGACTCCGGCGTTCGCTTTCAATCCTGCATTGGCGTTAAGACCCACACCAGCGCTGAGGCCAGCACCAACGTTGAGACCGGCACCAGCATTGAGGCCGGCACCAGCGTTGAGTCCGGCACCAGCATTGAGGCCGGCACCAGCCTTTAGACCGGCACCAGCGCTGAGTCCGGCGTTCGCTTTCAATTCTGCATTGGCGTTAAGACCCGCACCAGCATTGAGTCCGGCACCAGCGTTGAGTCCGGCACCAGCGTTGAGTCCGGCGTCCGCTTTCAATCCTGCATTGGCGTTAAGACCCACACCAGCGCTGAGGCCAGCACCAACGTTGAGACCGGCACCAGCATTAAGTCCAGCACCAGCGTTGAGTCCGGCGTTCGCTTTCAAACCTGCATTGGCGTCAAGACCCGCTCCGGTATTGAGACCAGCACCAGCCTGAAGTCCAGCATTCGCCTTGAGGCCTGCGTTCGCGTTGATGCCGGCACGAGCATCGAGACCGGTGCCGGCGTTGGCATTGCCGTAACCAAGTGCACCGAGACCAGCATTTGCGTTGAGATCCACGCCCGTAGCGCCGTAGCCACCAGCACCAGCCTTGAGACCGCCAAGTGCCTTTAGAAAAGACAGTCCGCCATATCCACTTATCCCCGCGGACGCGCCTTCATATCCGTTTGTGCCGACACTAGCACCTCCGTAGCCACCGTCAGTGTTGTGGCTCTTCGGCAATAGCCAGCCAAACGTCTCCGCCACCTCCGTCGTCGCATCCACTGTACCACCAGAGAACGCCACAGCTGCCGCACACAATGCATAGATCGTCTTGCTGATCATCATCTTGGTCGTAATTGGAGTAGCTTGCTTGAGCTGGAGTGACTTGTTGGAGGCAGTCGAAATTGAAGAGTGAGCTCTAAGGCAGTCCACTGCGAGCAGCCCCAGCGCTCAGACTAGATGGCTGGTAACTCGAACGGAATAATATGTCCTGCCCGCACGACGTGTAGTCTAAAGCAGAGGGAATAGCCACTACCATTCGTATGCCACATGATTATCAGGTATTTGTAAGCTACATCGATCTATTTATCAGGTTCAGTGCTAGTATTATTAAAGTGTCATTCTCGGATAAGATCTGCGCAAACACGCAGGCAGAGAGACGCATCACAAAAACAGCGAGACCGGATGGTGGCAAAACGGTGAAGCGGTATGGAATTACAAGGGACATTTCCGATGACGAGAATTCCCGCGGGAATTACAGTTTTGATGCATCGAGCGTGTCGTTTGGCTGTAGCAAACTACGGGTCAAATATGAATAACTAACGGGCGGGTGGATCGAGATCCACGCCAGCAAGGTCATAAAATGCTGTTATTTTAGTGGTAAGTGAATCCCATGCTCCTACTTTTAATCACCAGCGCAGGTTCGACCTTTCAATAGCTGGAGCGAGCGTGACGTTCATCATCTAACTTTTTTGTCTTCTAGCCGTCTTAACAGTCGGAAATCCAAGGTCATCATTATCCATAGACTTGCAGTATGGTCGTTAGTGTTTATGTAACGGGGTACGTAAGTGTACCCTGGTTACATGAAGTGTGACACTTCACACTTCAGGAGTATGACACGTCATACTCCAAGAGATATTTGGTACAAGGTACCAAGGACGTTCATTGGTTAAATGACATTGCATATAGGTAACTAACAGTTTGTATTAAACCCAAACTTAATCTACCTATAAATATACTCAGTTTACAATCTACCTTATTTGGGTCACTTCGTTCTCTTTTGATAAAGAGGGAACTGTGAGCTGCCGTTCACTGAGAGTTTGTATACTCTCGGAAGATAACTTCCTCTTGCGCAAGGTGCTGTGTGACCCCGTCACACTTGGTAGCACTTGTAGTCAATCCACGCCATCGCGGGTAGACTACCTGAACCTCCGAAGTTCGTTGCCATGGATAGGAACGACTTCTCCCATATGAACGACTCTCAGTTCGAATCGGTTTGGAAGATGACAGGCAACTTCGGGATGGAGGCCTTGCAGAGCCTGGTGGTGTCAACACCGGCTGAGCAGCTCGAGCGCGTCAATGCGTGCGACGCGTACGAGCAGGGCCTCATCGCGCATGTGCGGGAAAACCTGCAGGCTCCGGCGGCGGAAGCAAATCCGCCTCACCCGAAGCCAATACAGCTGAAGGTAAAGCCGTATGAAGGGAAGGAAGGCGAGAACCTTCACTTCTGGGTCCGAGAAGTAGAGCTCGCGATGGACGCGGCTCTGATCTCGACCGAGCAACTGCGTGTTGCTTTTGCACTCTCCAACCTTAGCGGTCGTGCTAAGAGTTGGGTGTACACTCGGGAAGCAACATCCCCTGGATGTTTCACATCCTGGGCTCAGCTGTGCGAACAGCTCCGAGCCGCGTTCCTCCCGGCGAACTACGAGTACCGCCAGCGTTCGCGCTTCCTCGCGTGTAAACAAGGAAGGCGCGAACTGCACGAGTATGTGCAAGAGATACGGGAGCTCACGGCGTCCCTAGTGGGAAACCCACTCAATGAACACATCAAGATGACTGTGTTCATGGACGGCCTTCGAGTGGGCCCCGCACGCACTCAGCTGTTCCGGGTGCAGGCAAGCACCCTTGAAGAGGCGATTCAAGTTGCTCTTCAAGAAACGTACAGCCATCGCCAGGCGCGTACGCCAGCCTTAACATAGCCTGGGAGTTCCTTGTCGGCTCCCGGTCGAACAAGCCCCAACGGCCAAGTTCCAGTGGAACTCGGGTCCGCCGAACAGCGTGACATCCGCTGCTTCGGCTGCGGGAAGATGGGCAACTTCAAGCGCGATTGTCCCGCGGAGAATCTCCGCAGACGGTCCTTCCCCAAGCCCTTCCTCAAGGGTCGCTGGCAGAAGCCAGGATCCCGGGGACAGGGGAACGCAGGGAACCAGTAGGGGCGGGGCGCCCTACTGGGGAAGAACTAAGTCTTCGTGATGGGTGCGCGGGTGGCGCGTACCACGGGGACTTAGCCCCTGAGAGTCTTCGCACTCTCGAATCGGCGAAGAGCAGCGGCGGGTTGCTCGTAGTACACGGATGTGTACGGGGATACGATCATCCCTTTAGAATCTTGATTGACTCTGGGGCGTCGAAGAATTTCGCACGCCGCCAGACGGTTGCTCGTAACAGCAACAAGTTGTCCGAAGCTTTGAGAGAAAGCAAGGGCAACGGGACGGTGTCAGTGCGACTGGCCGACGGGAAGGTCGTCACTGTCCCCAACGTCCAAGTGGATCTGGCTGTCAAGTTTGAAGACTTTGACAGCCTCGAACAGTTCACTGTTCTCGATATGGATCCATATGATATGATCCTGGGCATGCCCTGGCTTGAGAAGCACGAGCCCTGGATCGACTGGCGAGGCAAGGCAATCGGTGCCAGCCACCCTGCGCAGTCCGACAGAGCATTGGTGAGTCATGTTCCCACCTCTGTCAGGACCCGGGGCGCCCGCGAGGGCTGCCAGGGTACCAAAGCATCCGGCAGATGCTTGGGAGTCGTCGACGTATATGACGACTCCGAGGATGTTTTGATGGTGGCCGCGCCCAGAAGAGGCGCTGGCCAAGTGGGTAACTTAGGTCCACAGGCGGGTAACTTAGTTCCGCAGACAGCTGCAGCTGTCATGAACACTGAGAACAGCGTGTTCAGCGTGGGTAACAGAGTTCCACTCACGGTCGCCCAGACCTTAACTGAAGAGGAAGACGTCGGATACGCTTCCTGTGTAAGTAACACAGTGCCACACGCGGTCGCCCAGACCTTAACTGAAGAGGAAGGCGTTGAACACGCTTCCTGTGTGGGTAACACAGTGCCACACGCGGTCGCCCAGACCTTAACTGAAGAGGAAGGCGTTGAACACGCTTCCTGTGTGGGTACAACAGTATCACACGAGGCCACGAGTGCCTCGGATGTCGTAGCGACGACATTCCTAGACGTGGGCAGCAAAGCTCCCCGTCACAGACGCCGTCGGCAAAGACACCGTTGCCGCCTCAAGTCGGATCCGAACTTCGTTCCGATCGACGTCGCTTCAAGCGACTCGGAGTCCAGGGCCCGGGCTCCTCTGACAAGGCCGGTGGAAGAGTGTTATCACATCTTCGATGGCGAGACACGTTTACCCGTCAAGGCATCTGGTGTCCACTTGGAGCCGTTGCCAGAGGTTGCGGAGATACTGAACCTCGAGGAAATGACGGATGAGTCTTTCCTGGCCAACCTCAAGGCTGGAGAGATTGCTGAGATGGTACTCACAAGACCTGAGACCACTCAGGAGGAGCTGAACTCCTCCTCTGTCTTGGACGAGAACGTCCTAGAAGACATGAACAAGCAGCGTCAGGCGCGCTTGGGTTCTGAGATTCTCAAGAACCCCAAGGATCCGGTGTATCCTTTGGTGACGGAGTATGCGGACGTGGTGAGCAAACACCCACCGCACCGGATCGAGGTGTACGGCACGAGATTGATCTCTTGCCCGGCACAAAGTATTGTGTCACGAGGCAATGGCCTCTCCCGCGCGAACAGTGCGAGGTCATTGATGCCTCCTTCGCCGCGAAAGCGAAGGCAGGCATGGTGCGGGAATCGAAATCCCCGCACTCGACGCCGACTTTCTGCGTTCGGAAGCCGAACGGAAAGTGGCGTCTGGTTCACGCTTATAACAAGCTGAACAACGCAACGGTGCCGGCCCAAACACCGATCCCACGAAAGGATGTGTTGTTGAACAACATGGCCGGGAGCGTACTGTACAGTGCGCTGGATTTGGTAGACGGATACTACCAAATCCTGATGCGAGAGAGTGACATCCCGCTCACCGCGGTAAGCACTCCAAGCGGCATGCTTTGGGAGTGGGTCGTCATGCCGCAGGGCTTGTCTAACGCCCCGGCGACGTTCAATCGCCTGGTGACGCAATTGTTCCGCCCTTTGCGTACCTTCGTACCGACGTACTTCGACGACATATTCGTCCATAGCCGTGCCGAGGGAGGCAAGACGACCATGGAGGTGCATCTAGGACACCTCCGTCGAGTGTTGGACGTGATACGAGCGAACAAGCTCTACGCCAACATCGACAAGTGCGTTTTCGCGTCACCAGAGATCAAAGTTCTCGGTTGCTTCGTAAGCAACGTGGGCGTTCGGGCTGACCCAGACAAGGTCAAGGCCATAGCAGCATGGCCGACGCCCCGATCCCAGAAGGATCTTCGAAAGTGGTTGGGCTTGGCCAACTACCTTCACAAGTACAGCGCAGGGTACGCGGGCTTCGCTAAGCCCTTGTCGAGCATCCTTCAGAAGGACGTCGACTGGCGCTGGGAGCAAGAGCACCAGGATGCTTTTTACAGCATCAAGGCCAGTCTCCAAGAGGCCCCTGTCCTGGCCCTGCCGGACTGGACGAAGCCATTTAGCGTCGTCTGCGATGCCTCCGACTACGCCATCGGGTGTGCATTGCTGCAGGACGACACGGCTGGACAGGAACGAGTCATCTCGCTCCAGTCCCGGCAGCTCAAAGCCGCCGAGCGGAACTACCCTGTCCATGACAAGGAGCTCCTGGCAATGAAATATGCCCTTGTGAAGTTCCGTGTTCACCTTCTGGGCTCTAGGCCCTTTGTGATCTACACAGACCACGCGTCCTTGAGGACGGCGACTAACTCGCCTCACCTCTCCCAAAGGATGGCGAGGTGGCTGTCCTTCTTCGCGGAATACAACTTCCGCGTCGAATACAAGCCGGGCAAGCTCAACGTGCGTGCGGACGCCCTCTCTCGGCGTCCCGACTATGAGTTGGCCCACATCACGCGGGTGACAACGGATCTATATGATCGGATACGCATGGCGTATCGGACGAT